CATATTTGAAACCTTTCTCGCACTGAACCATTGGTATGTCATGGATGTTGAGGCCTTCTTCCAACAGAAAACGGATATATTTCTTGATCTGCCATGCACTGCCAAGAACTGATGCTGCACCTCCGTCTTGTACTGCTGCATCATCTCCAACAAAATCATTCTCACTTGCATCAATGTGAAAGGCCTCCGCGGCAGCAGTCACCTCTTCAACCATGTTCACGGAACTTTCAGCTTCTTCTCCGATCTTTCGCTTCTTGTCTCCAGGTGGCATTGGACAATTGCGCGCCCAATGACCTGAATTGCCACAGCGAAGGCAGAGTTGTTGTCCAGCTCCTGAACCCATAGCTGCTGCTGCTCTTCCTTTAGGATTGCCTGACTTGCCGCCCTTTGGACTTGAGCGACCTTTGTTCTTTGACTTTCATTTGCCACCTCGCTTGCCACGAGCTTGACCTCCTGGTGATTGTCCTGACATGTGTGGTGGCAACATAGCAACAACAGGATACAATCCACGGGAATTGCGAAGTGCGTTCATCTTTTCTTTTGCATCCTCACAATTTGCGAACGCATCATCAAATTCATCAACGTCGCACACCTGTTCACAATTGTCAACCAAAGCAATAGTCTTCAACACACTCTGTTGATGCGTCTTGCCAGTCATCCCAGCCATACACCATATATAATACGTTGGGGAGGGATCCATCACCATTCGTCACCTGACAGTAGTAGGTGTCGACTGGTTTTCTGGAAGGCGTGACCATCTGGATGATGCGTTTTGCTATGTGGAATCTTGTCCAAGGATAAAACTCATGGACTTCATCACTTCCTCAATTGTCAACCAGTGGTTCCAGTATTAGTCAAAATCAACTGCCTTTGCTCCTTTGTGATTTCATGATCGACGCAGAAACCACCATGCTAGCACCTTCTCCGGAAGATTGACAGAATGCGTCACCTGCAGCCTTCTCTCACAACGTGTAGTCGTTCATGTAGTCCTGAAGGGTTTGTTTGGGCTTCCTCTGTACGCGAACGAAATACTGTTCAAAATCATCCGGCAACTCAGTCAAAGGATCGGATTTGAATCCTCGATCAAGCCGTGTGAACGAGGTCTCATAGGCATCATCTCCAGCCATCTGATCCATTGTCACGTCCTCAACTAAATCCCAAGCGTTCCCAGCCATCAACGTAACCAGGTTGTAAACAACTTCTGACTGCCGATTGCCTACTGTAGTTGCATCTTCTTCTTGCAGATCTCACATCTCTTTCTGAACTCCCTGTAGTCTTGCATCTGGTTGCTGAAAACAGGCACATAGTTGTCGAGCTTTGCAGTGCTCGCTCCACTTGGAACCGTCTGTTGACCTGACCCAGAAGATGCCCCCGGACCAATTGTCGACTGTCCCGTCTTTGGAGGCATGAACACTCAGCCCCTGCGGTAGCCCTTGCGGGCTCCGCTACCAACAACAAGAGTTGAAGTAGCTGCACAAAGTGTCACCAACACAATGTAAACTCAAATCCACAACGATCAACCCTCAAAGCGAATCCGACCCAATGCAATGCTATGCACTGTTTTCTATGGCATATGCCAGTAGCTCGAGCGTGTCCCTTCCACTCTCAAGCCGATACCACCGACCTCATGTCAGTGACATCAGCACCCTTGGATTCCGGTTTGAATTTCACGTTATAGTCATATTTGTGATTGTTTAAAATATAGCATCCGACAAAATCTAGTGCATACACTTGGTATGTTGTTCTTCTCAGTTTGAGATTGAGTTGCTTACGGCAGTATACAAGACGTGTTGCGAGACCTGCAAATTTCCAACCAGTGCCTTACCGATGCCCCAACCGATGCCCACTTTGAACACGTTTGTGTCCATTTTCTCCACAACTTGTGCAACCACTACTGCAGTTGATTCGTGCCCTCACTGTTGGCGTGCCAAACTATGGCAAGCTTCATGCCACCAACAAAGCTTGAAACGCAGCCAACCCTACAAACCTGCACGACCCATGGGGGCCGACCCATTCTAGGCAATGTTCTGAGGCTATATAGATAAGATATTTTTCCGGCGCACACACCAATCGTTAGGGGTCGTGCTTGGGGGCCTAGAGTTTCCCCGCCACTTACAAGAAAAATTACGGCTTGAGTATGTCAGTGGTTTCCCGTTTGGCCAAGCGGCTTCCCATTCCTGTTGAATGAAAGTTCCACGAGGTAGCAAGAACCTATAGTGCAGGGTTCACCTGCTCCGTGCCCATAACAGGTTTCAGTGCCTATGGGGGTGGCCACAGCCAGTCTACTGCCTACTCGTTGTGGCCTTAGGTGCTCCATCACGACAACTTGGCCTCATAGAGTCATAGGGCAACAAAGTGGATGAGCGATGGCCTCCAACCTAATAACAATGGCCTCCAACCTAATAGCGATGGCCTCCAACCTAGAAGCGATGGCCTCCAAACTGCCCAGAAAACTCGATTTGAAACCATTGCTGGCAAGCTCCTTTTGAAGCTCAGGGGGGGGGCTGCCGCCAGCAGGCCAGCCAGAGACTGAAATGGTCCACCCGCGTAGGGGGCGTTGTCACGGAGCAATAACCAAGGATTCACTTGGTTGAGTGCTTAGTGCTTTGGAGCTAGGGAGAGTTCTTTGCCGAAACTGCATTACCAACATCCATGAGGCATCAGAAATGATTTTGCATGGTAAGAGGTTTGCTTGCCAAATGCGGGATGAAGAGACCAGACCAAACACACAACTTGCCACACAGGCGGGGCCGTGGTCTCTGCCGCAGCTCCAGTAGCAGCTCCGGTAGTGACGGCATCCGCTTCCTATAGAGGAGGCCCTGGGCCGCAAAGTTGTCAAAGATGCAGAGAAATCGAGAACGGCAATAGAACAAACTGGGAAACAATGAGAAACTTGAAAGATTTGAAAGCACCTGAGTTCCTTGCTTGTAGAGGAGCGCAGCCAACTGTGGGAGTGCTCAGCATCAATAATCAATGTTTGACATTGACCTTCAGCATTGATTACTGTAACTGGTTCTCAAGTTCACTAGTTGCAAATGGCCAATTCAAGTTTACTAATCCATACTGTAATACTAATGCAATTTTTGTACGGAAGTTCAGTTCTGCATCCTAGGCCCCTGTTGTAGCCTGCAGCCCCAGTTTGGTCCAACGATGTGTAATGGGTGCTCGGGAAGGATTCAGATTACACAGGGCGAGTTGCGAGGGACTGCATGCAGACAGCGTCATAAATTTGCTCACATGAGTGACAGCGTGACAGCTTGCGGGCCGAGACTCTAATGGTGCGGTGCCAATGTGATGTTATGTGCAAGTCATTGGTGTCACAATGTGTCACATCATGGCGTCACTGCAATGCCCCCGAGCATTCTACACAGTCTCAAATGCGCAAGAGAATGCCAGAGATACAGCTGAGTTTATATAGAATATGTGGAGGTGTTTTGCCTATGTTTGACCCTTGCTCATATTGGACAGCCAAGTGCCAAGGGTTGCACTTGATGGCCTTAGGTCGGAGCCGCTCCCAGTGCCGCTGTGGCAGCAGAGGATTCCGATGAGGATCTTGCAGGTTGGCGAGCTCACCGTTTGTTCAGTCTAGGTTGGCTTGCGACATGGCAAATCCACCAATAGTGTCAATGTCCCCTTTGCAAGTTTGCAACTGGTGAATTCTTCATCCACTTTGGCCTTCTTTTTCGAGGTTGGGACAGATGAGCGCTCGTCAAGCGGCGTCAGGCTTTGTCCGTTTGGACGGGCTTGCGGAAGGTAATATTTGCTGAGGAGTGAAAGTCTGAAGTTTTGAAACCGAGTCCACTGTCCTAGCAGCGCGTTCAGCATACACACATTCATTTGAGATAGGACACAATTGTATGTTACCTGCGTCAAATCACCAAATCATCCAAGCCCGAAAGATCATCCCTGGCGGACCCTTGGACTCGGGACAAGGCCACAAACATTGAAACTGGGGGTGGGGGCAGCGATGCTGAGGGTTGGAACAACTCGTCCACCCGGGGTGATTATCACATAGTATCACTACCTTATAGTACTAAAAGCCGACGTTTGGTTATGAATCTTGGTTGCTGTCAAGTCCTTGGAATGAGCCCTTTTGGTTAAAGAGGTGAGTGGCTGGGACAAGGCTGGATATGGTCTTTCTCACCTTGTGGCACCTACGAGGCGGAATCGTGCATTGCTCAGAAACTGGCAGCACCTTCTGGCTCGATGCAACCAAGTTGGGGTCATGGGCTGGCTGAGTCACCGATCAGCATTTTGTCTCAGCGAGATTGAAGGATATTTAAATGGACCTGACTAGCACAGACCAAGTGATTGCCGGTACCCACAAGGGTGAGGGTTCTCGTACTCCTCATCTCGCAATGACAAACGTGCAGAAGTTGTGATGACATCAGAGTTGTGCCAACCTGGATTGAGGATGCCAAATGGCCCTGAAAACTAGGCCGCCCCCAGCCTGCCATTTGGTGAAGTTTGATCCTTAGCCATGGCCTTCTCCAAGCTGCATAACCAGTCCACCTCAGCGACAAAGATGGAGCTCATCGCAGCTCAGGCAAGCAACCAAAAAAAGCATGCAATGCAAGGTAAAGGGGAGTGGTTCAGAATATTGCCAGCACATTCAATCTTGACAAGCACTACCTTTGGGAGGTTCTTTTACCTTTTTGGGACAATCGGATCATTAAACATCTGCATCCAGGCCAAAATCACCGAACTTAGCCGAGACCTCAGGGGCTGGCAAAAGAGTTGCAGCGAGATTAATCTTATATTTTTGAACATTGTAGAGGCTGGACAGGTTGTGAGGCTTTCAACAGTTTGAGAATTTGGAGCTGAATTACTTTGTTTTTATGTTCAAGCATGGTCAACATTTGATTCGGAGATTGAAAGGCCAGACGGAAGTCAAGATGCCAATGCGTTCCAACGCTTTGAAGATCTCATATGACATATGCCTCCTCGCATTCTTGCATCTTTGACATAATTGCATTGAGACAACTCAAAAGTACATACACTATTATACAAACCCCACTTTGCCGCGCCCCATGTCGTTTTGGGAAGTCATCGGCGGAGCACAAAAGGGTGGCCTCCTGGTTCGCGCTGAGAAGGACCGGGCTTAGGGCTCCCAACCCGATTAGTATCCCGACCAAAAAGGTCCAGTGCCTGTGGAAGTGCTACTGTATTTCATGTAATTCCCAGGCATTCGATGTCGGTGACCATCCTCCTCATGTCACAAGAGGCTTGGCCCAAGTTTCAAGTCACCCAGCTCTGGCGCAGGTCTTAAGGTAACCAGGTTCTAAACCGGTCCACCCTCTATTACACTCTGAGAGGACACCTCATCTCAGCTTGCAGAGTCACGCTTGTCAACTGGCGCGCTGGTCCAGGAGCTAGCCAAGGACCATGAGTGCAACATAGTGCAACCAATGCTAGAAGAATCGAGAAACACCATGCCAACTCCAGATCGTCATGGTTCGCCGCGGTGACGCGTTTGCTTTTGATCAACCAGCGTGGCCAGCCAAAAAGTACTGTATCCACAGTCTTTACATGTCTTTGCCACAAAATGCTGAACCTGGTGGCTCGTTGAGAAGAGCCCACATCGTAGCGTATCGCAACTGTTGTGATTCTCCACTGCCGAAACCAGGTCAAGGCTCAAGATGCATCAAGTTATGGAGACGGCGGGTTCAAATTTGCAGAAGGATGGGAACATGGGTCAAGTGGACAGAGCATCACTCACGCTCCAAGCAACGATTGTGCGTGAATCTACTTGAGCTTGACAGATTGACTATATACCCATTCTATCAAAAAGCAACCTGGGGATTTGAACAGCCCGACAGCCCGCAGTGGTGAGAACGGAGAATGTGGCAGCATGTAGGAGCCCCAAAGGCCCTAGAGGTCTCAGCATATTTCTTCCTGTCACAGTTCAACCAACCAAATTCAAAACAAGCTCCATGCTGGGAGTGCAGCCGCGGCCTTGACTGCTGACTGCCCGACATCGCTCCTACACATTGTTGGGTGGTTGTGCTCTGCATGTGGCCATGGCTGGCGACAGCTTGGGTTCTGTTGGCTTGGACAACCTGCCGGTGCCGGCACAGTATCGGAAGAGAGTGCGCTGTGCCGGCCTTACCTCTTCGGCCTCGGCCGCTTCGGAGAGGTCTTGCTACCAGGCGCCTCAGACACCCTGAGAAAGGTTAGTATTCTCCAGATAGGGTGCTTCTATTGCGGTTTTTATGCTTCTCCTACTAGACGCCTCGAACGTGTAACTCTGGAGCCGTGCTCACAACTTTTTGCCTCGAACCTTGGAAACCTCTGAATATTGTTTTATATTTTTTAATATACAATATATATATATATAAACTGGTCAATGGCAGTGTTTCAATTGCCCAAATGCCGAGCAGGCAACTGTTCAGTGAGAGTGTTTTCACTCGCCGGAGTAAGCGGTCGCTGTCAACCTGGTATGGCCAGCCAGTGATTCCAGACTCAGATGCCTCAGCCTAAGCAGCTGAAACACAGCATTTTCCTTTTCATGTCCAAGATAAGAACCTCAGTCGTGACCTGAAGGCGGGCTGAGACACGTACGGAAGCATACAGACCTTTGCAAGGTATCCAGCAGACAGTCTGAGTCTAATTCAGGTGAAAGCTTACGTCGACCTGGTCCTCTCGGATCCCAACAGCCAAGTGAATGACCCAGCAGTCCCAGATTTCATTGAACGCGAAGCTTGGTGCAAGATGTGCAAGGATCCAACGAAGAAAACTGAGGATTGTGAGACTCTTTGCAGCCTCTTTGCCATCACGCTAGAATATGCTAGCATTGTAAAGGTATGGAGTGAATACCTATCACGTGTGACCGCTCGAGGTGTCAACGTGGAACGTGAAAGCTGCATGCGACTCTTTTGCGTAGCGTGACGTGTCAAAGCTCAAGGGGCCCCTGTCGGGCCGAGTTGAACCACAAGCGGCGTTAGGCCAAAAGCTTGAAGTCCAGACATGTAGTCCAAACACAAAGGGCGGCGCCCTTTTCACACCGGTGGTTGTTGCGAAAGATTCAAAACTCTCGCCACTTTGTCATCTCTTGCTGCGCACAAAATGCGCAGTAGTCATACTGCTTCATCGTGCCGGCATCTGCTCCAGAAAGGCCTTGGCAGTCCGGGTAGATGTGGTACTTGCTGCCTGTTCTTGTAGTCCACACTGACCTTGGCACTGGGTTGCGATCAAGCTCGTACTTGATGGCTTCCAGCTTGTCATAGGCAGTCTGCCATTTGATTCTCACATCTTTGTACTTGCCGTCGAGCTCCCCGATGTCACCGGACAAGTAGTCCCGCATCAGGGTAAGGTCGTCCACTTCCTTCTCCAATTCGTTGTTCTCGCCCTCCAGCGCGTCGAGCTGGTCTTTGAGCTGGGCGTTGTAGGCATCTGAATCTCGTAGGTCTTGTTGAAGTCGTGTGATCTCCATCTTGAGGAGGCCAAACACATTCTTCTCGAGGGCTGTCTCCGCCTGGGTGCCACATTCTTTTGTGCTAGAGCTTGGACTCTCTGTTGTCATCGTCCAGGTCTCTGTCGTTGTCATTGTCCTCAATGTCGTCGGAGTCGTCGTTGTAGCCCTTCCCCACATGTGCCATCCCTCGTGTCCATGGAAAGCATCTTTTGCTTTGTGACCATGACCTCGATCTTCGTCCGCTTGTCCCCTTGGAGACTGGGTGTCTCGGCTTTGAGGCTGTCGTAGAGGGCTTTGGCGTCTACCACCAGAGCTGAGGAGAGAGGGGGCTTCAGCTCGTTGACCTGTCGAAGCTGGAAGTCGTGCTTTAAGCATCCTTCCCAGAAGATGAGGAGGTACTCCAAGGCGTCCATGGCTGCTGAGCAAGCTTGACTCTCAGCATTCAACGAGGATCTGCTAACCCTTGGCAGCCAATCCAGGATGACATAGTCGTGGTCGGAGGTGTCATCGAGCACGGCCTTGTTGCAAAGAAGGACCAAGTAGCCTCCTTGGCTCTCATTGTTTCTCCTCTTGGGCAGGCGGCATCACTCATCGCCACCATGCATAGGTTGTCCAGCGAACCTCCCAATGATCTGAAGATCAGACCAGCGTCGTTGTTGTTCTTGGCGAAGCGGAGGGTCTTGTTTGCCTGCTGGGCAACACCGACCGTGGATGTAGTGACTTCTCCACATAGAAGCGACACTGAGGCGCATAGGTGTGGTGAGGTCTGAGTTGCCGGCCATTGAAGTGCTCCAAGTAGCGCTCGAAGTGAGCTCTGCTCGCGAGAGTTGAGTTCTTGCTCAGGATCATTGTCGGCGCAGGTCATGGGCTTGATGCCTTTGAGGTAGTCTGCCTGCGTCATGATTGACTCGGTGGCTGTTCGTGCCAGCTGACAACCGCAGAACTCTAAAGGTCGTTCTCCTTCCTTGGTCCAGTGCTTGAAGTTGAAGGAGGTCTTGAGGCTGTCTGTGAGCTGCTGGTACGTTGGCGATGAAGCTAAGCCACAGCCAAATAGATCATCAACGTGGATGCCAACCATTGCTGTCAAGGCTTTGTTCTCGTCGTAGAACATGTAGAGGCATTGATCCAGAGGATGGGACTGGAATCCCAACTGCAGTAAACGGCGTCTCGCCACTGCAAACCACTGCCTTGGAGCATCAGCCTGTCCGTAGAGGGGCTTGATCAAGCGCATGAGGGTGCCCGGAGGAACGCCGATCAACTCGCAAGCGTCCTTGGGGGTCCGGGCCCACAAGATCCTCTGCTGAGGATCACCCTGAAGGAATGCCGTTGCAACGTCGGCAGTCCAGCGCTCCCAGGAAAGCACCTCGGAAATGGCGATGATCACCTGGCGAGAGCTCCTTGACAAAGTGGGTGATGAAGTGTCGAGTTGACCTTGCAGTAGGTGGGAATCAGCAAATAAGTGAAGGACCAGTCTTGCCTTGGCCTTGAGGCCACCTTTCCCATCAGCTGCCCACTTGAGAACGAAGCGAGCGCGCATGACCCTGTTGTGGTCAACAGACTGTGGATCGAGTTCGATCTCCCAGACTCCGTTCTCGAAGATGCTGGAGAGCTCGTTCTTCTTGCCCTCCAAGAAGGCCAAACGGTCTTCCAGGGACATCTCTTCTCGTTGAGGTCTGCGCTCTCCTTGACGTTCTTCTTCTTGGGGCTAGCGGCACCAACTGCTTTCCAAATGTGTCCACGGCCTCTGAGCGTCTTGCAGCGGCTGAGCTTGTCGGAGAGGTCGCCGATGTAGTAGAGACCAGTCTTCTCTGCACCACTGACGGTGAGGGGGTACAGGGTCTTGCCTGTCCAAGCTTCGCTGAAGTGCTGCTGCTCCTCGGAGTTGACATAGATAGTCCGTGAACCTTGCTGCAGTGTCAGGCCGGTGGTTGTTTGTAAGTAGGAGGGGTCAATGGGAAAGGTCTCCGGCTTGTAGGTTGACTTTCTTCCCCAAACATGGTTTCTGACCAAAAAGCCGTCCTCATAGCTCCACCAATCTGCGGTCTTGCCGAGGGTGAACTCGTGGGTCTTCTCGTCATAGTGCCATCCAGACGGGAGAGGTGTGGACTTGCTGAAGTCAAAGCTGTTGAGGTTGAGGTCCACATCACCATCATCTGTCCGGGCTTTCTTACGAGTCCAGATCGTCTCTTGCTGATCGAAGCGACGGCGTCGATCTTGAAAGGATTCATGAGCTGGTGGTGCATAGAGAGGATCAACGGTCATAGGACCTGATGAAGATGATGCCTCAGGTGCGGGCACATCGGCTGGTTCAGCCTTTGGAGAGTTCAGATCATCATCTTCAGGTACAGGAAGATCTGCTGGATCGGGACGTGGGTCTTGTTGATCCGCCCTGGCCATTGGAGTTTGGAGGTGAGAAGGTTCACCCATAGGCTCCTCAAAGTCATCATCATCCAGTTCAGGAAGTTCTGGATGTCGCTCATGGGGTTGACGTTCCTCCAACTGAGGTTCCAGCTGCGGTGGCTCTGACTGAGCATCCGGAGGTTCTGCTTCTGGAGGTTCTGCTGCTGGCAATGCCTCTGCTCTCGACTGAACTGCCTCCTGCATCGAGCGGTCGAAGGCTTGTTGAACTCCGTCAGGTAGAGCAGGCGAGGACATAGTCAACGGAGCGGGATGATGAGGATCTGGAAGCGAAGGCTCATAGTCACTGACCTCAGGGTCAACCTCATCTATCGATCGCTTGTTGGCCTTTCGCAAATCCACGATGCGAACGGATCTCCTTTGTCTCAGGCCGTCCAGGGCTTGTTGAGCTCGTTGCACTGCTCCGATCTGTCCGCCATCATTGACCATCTTGCGAACGTGTTGAACTCCAGCGCGAAGGAGCACAGTGCCGTGAGCGAGCCAGTAGACACTGACGGTGCCTGAGTCCGGGTTGCGTTCCACAGCAACCACTACCGCAGGTCCTCTCCA